TACTAAGCCCACTATACTCTATGAGAAGATGTGAAACGGCACACATGTCTTTTTTTTTTTCATATTAATTGGAAGAATAACAAACAACAAGTGCACACCGACACATGCTGAGCTCATGTCATGCCAGAGTGTCCAGCCAGTGGCTATTTCTCCAAATCAGCAGCTGGGTCTACAAGCTGTGTCCAACACAACATATCAGATGGTCCATAAAGGAATGTCATCTGATTAGCCGATTGGCCGATGGCATTCAACATGGTGAATCATTTCCAATACCAATGTTACACCGATACCAAACGTGACATACTCAGCACAACAGCCACCGAACATCCAAACATGTGAATGAATGCCTCCTACAATTCCCAACATTTTGACATTTCAATACCTTGAGTTTTGAATATTAAAAATCTAAGGGGATCCATGGGGACCCTTACACAGTTTCTAACTTAAGAATATCACTCAAAATGATTGACTACGGTCAACTCAAACTTACATCACAGGTCAAGGTCAAGTCATAGGACCAACGATCCACAACACTTACAGGATCAGTCATACTCAGCATCCAACACCTCATTACTCCCTCACCACATGTCTTACAACTATTTGTATTATTCTCTTTTTTCATCCAGTCTTTCTTCTTCTCATTCCTTTTCATCTATCTCTGTCATTACCTCAATTTCTTTCCTCCAGCTACCCGCCTTGTCTTACCTCTCCCTCATTCTCTCTCCTCATCTCTCGCTCCTACGTTGTTGTCACGGGGAGGCCACTGCTGTCGGGGAAGTTTTCCCAACCTCCTCATCCTCTCATTTTTCATCAGCCCCTCTCCAACACCCCCTCCCATGTACACACACACACCAGCTCCCATCTCCCCCCCCCCTGCTCTCTCCCTGTCCGTCCGTGGCACAAATGCATTTGTTCAATACCTCCAGCAAACAGATTAGCAGGCTGTTATCAGCGACAGGGAGATGGTGATAATGGTTTTCACCACATCTTCTCTCTGCCACAGATTAAAATGGGCCAGGTCACCCATCTCACACACACACACACACACACACACACACACACACACTCTGTGCCTCTGTTTCAAATCGTAATGTTGGAAGACTCAAACCATCCCATCCCCCGCTACCTCTCTTTTCTTATATCTAATTTGCTCTTCTTCTTATTTTTCTTCTTCCCTTTTCCTTCCAAAAGGAAACCATCAACCCACCTCTTCCTCTTCCTCTGATAACAAGGATATTCTGATAAGAAAAATCTGTTAGCTGAATGTGGGATATCTCTGTATGTGTATTCATTCAGGTGCATTAAGAGACCATGCAGTGTTCATTTCTTCTAAAGCTATAAAAGAGTGATCATGATCGCTACAGTCCAGTTACACTGCTCAGCCATGGGTTGCAGATCACATCAAAGAGCAGCGTGTGTGTGTGTGTGTGTGTGTGTGTGTGTGTGTGTGTGTGTGTGTGTGTGTGTGTGTGTGTGTGTGTTTGTTTGAAATCACATGACCAAAAAAAAAGAAATATGTGTAAAAGTGTGCATGTTAAAAGTGCATCTGTGAACCTAATCAAGAGATAAGACTGTAAGTGTATGAAAAAAGAGAAAAGTTAAAGCGAACAATCTCCCGTTTGTGTGTGTGTGTGTGTGTGTGTGTGTGTGTGTGTGTGTGTGTGTGTGTGTGTGTGTGTGTGTGTGTGTGTGTGTGTGTGTGTGTGTGTGTGTGTGTGTGTGTGTGTGTGTGTGTATAAGGTGGCTGTGATTAATTTCTCTCTGTAGCCGTTGCTCTAATTCCCGGCTGAGGTTGGAATGGTCCCTGAAAGAGTCCCAGTGGAAATCACAGTAGGCAGGCAGTCAGACAGCAGCTTTGAGAAACACTGATGAATTATCCATAAAGAGAGAGGGGGGGGTTGTGGGCAAGAGAGAGAGAAGAGGAAGGACTCTGTGTAAAGTGAGCAAGCGAAGGCAAGAAGGAGGTTATGAAAAGAGAGCAAAAAAGAGGAGATGGTGGGAAAGGAAACGCAACAGGGAGGATGTGGAGAAAAACAGAGCGAGTGTGAATAAGGGACAAAGTGAAAGCCACAACATGTTTTCCCTCTTGGAAAATTCACTTCTCCCCTAACCCCAGTGTGTATCCTCTCGCTGCTGGATCAGTGTATGTTTGGTTGTATCTTTGCGGGACCACAAATCTTCAGGTTTCACCTCAATACCAGCAGCTATCCTAACATGATCACCTGTAGATCAACTGGTAGGGGAAATCAGCCATGAAAAGATCTCAAAAGGCGTTGTGAAGCATCTGCGGATGAATAATCAGCATCCATAACATTTCGCTGTTCATTTATTAAGGGTCAGGGTTAAGGAGTTAGGTAAGGTTTTCACCTGAATAAAATGAACCTTTTCCTAACTGTTTGGGCAACGTTTTCATCACTGTTTCCTTGGACGGCTTACGAACTGTTCGGGCAATGTTCCATCTTCCATCTTCAACGTTTCTGTCACGAACGAGCTGAGAACTAAATTGCAACACACGGGAGACCAGTCGGTTACCAGTCAGCAGAGGTGGGGACTCGAGTCACATGACTTGACTCGAGTCAGACTTGGTATTCATTGATCTGTTATGATGATAAACGGAAGCCATTTCTAAATTAACCCAATTAACTGAGTTTTAAATCGTCCTACTTAGTTTATAAGGAAATTATGAAGAGGAACAAATTAAATGATTTGAAAATGATATCTATGAAGGTGCTGAGGCTGTTGGCGGTTCTAGTGTTAACAGAAATTTAAATTAAATATGTGTAATGGCAAATGCCATATATGATTTTCTTACCTGGAATTCTGCCTTTTTGAACAGACTTTTTGAGTGCTAGCTATATTGTCTGCAGTTCTGGGGTTAATATGAATCTAATATGATTGTCATCGGTCTAAATTAGATTTCAAATGATTAACTATGTATGTAATGAAGATCATAGTGTGGGTTGAATCCATTTTCATAACCACTGTCTTTTAACTGATTTAAATGTGGAAACTGGGCTTATTCATCAGAATTTCGTATGACTTGACTTGACTTGCTTGACTCTCACCACAGTGACTTGCTTGATACTTGGTCAAGACTTGAGACTTATTCATGACTTGCACATGTAGGACTTACTCCCACCTCTGTCATTCATTGAGCTTTTGTAGTTGACTTGAAGTTGGTGCCAGCCATCATGTTTGACCTCTGGTTTGTTGTTTTTGGATGCTCTTACAAGCCACAAGGACTCATTTTACAAATACAAAAGTACTTTAAGGCAAGTCAAGTATTACAATGTACAATTCAACAGACACATCTCATTCATGTCACAGTTAATTGCCATGTGCTCTGCTTCAATGTGTCTTGTTTGCATGATCTGGTGTGTGCAGTTCACTCTCAAAAGTATTGTAAGGACAAATAAAGAATATAAACGCAGTTATGAAGATTTGAGCTCAGAGGAGACAATTCAAGAAAGATATTGAGCAAAAGGTGATCCATGTAGAGAAAACCATGTGTTACTATGGCACAACACATACAACTGTATAAAGGCTTCCTAATTATTAAAGGGTTCTCTTAATGATACAACCTGTTATGTATGTTTAGAATGACAACAGTGAGGTGGATCTTAAGTCTGAATGTCCTGCTCGATAACTAAACCTAGTTCAAACCTTTAGCAAGCTCTTTCCTCTGGAATAAGACTCCTGTTGTATCCACTACAAATCTTAGAAAAATCATGGACTTCAGATCTCAATGAATCCTAAACACATCTGATCAAATGAACACCAGTGTATAGAAATGAGGTAAAAAACATGACAAAGGACACCCAAGACTTCTATAGAGATTGTATTATATTTCCAAAAATATATGTACAGTCTATTACAAAGGTAACAAAGCAAAAAGAATTGTCTATGTAACAAGAAATTGTCTAATTAAATCGTACAGTTCTGCTGTTGGGGAAAATACCTTTGACCAGTGAATTTTCAATACTTTCTTCACAGAAAAATAAATAATAAATTGACCATTTGTATTACTGTACAACAAACTGAAACGCAAAATCAAAAGAAAGTCAAAGTAAAGATGGAAATCCTATCAGCTGTCTTTGGTCCTAAATGAAAAATGAAGTACAACTGAAATCTTGTGAGTGACAATAATTCATCTGCGAGATAGAAAAATATAGTGCATTTTCAATGTATTCAGAGCTCTCTACTGAGTAATATGTGTAAAAAACCATATAAATAAATGTACAAGTTTTACAATTAGAACATATACAAAGATCCCCTCAAATCTCGTCTCTGACAAAATCAACAGTGCTCTTTGGAACCACCCCCCCCCCCCCACATCCACATCCAACTGCTGAACCACAGGGTTTGAAAAATAACTTTGTACTCTATCTTCTGCTCCTGATTCCAACCAGCCCTCTACATCCTGCACCTGTCTGCTTTTTTCTGCCTTTCTTACATTTTCTATTCTTTTTGAGTTTTTTTAATATAGAGCCACAACAAAACAGTTGTTGTTGAGAGTTGAGCAGAACCTGAAGTTTGAATGTGGGTGAAACAAGCTTCTGTTAGTGAAGGTTACAGGTGGCGCTGAATCGATTGTATCCTGGCCTTAATCTCAATTTGGCTCAAACTGCTGTTTCCCCAGCACAGGAAAAGGGGACGTTCGGCCCCGGGGGGGTGAGAGAGTGCTGCCTGTAAACTAGGGAGTTTTGTGCTGACTGAATGACTTCATGCCGGTATTCAATTCAAAGGTCTGGCCAAGGCCCAATGCTGAGCTCTGCTGTATGGATAAAGGGAGAAAGTTGGTGACACGGCTCAGAGCGGTCAGGACTAATTCCTGGTGTCTCCTCACAAAGGTGAGTCCCACAGTGAAAGTGGATCAAAGCAGACGCCCACACAAAGCCGGCTCATTGTGAGAGCACAGCTTAGGTGTAATAACGACACGCATGCTAGCTTTTTAAGGACATTTTCATTACAATCTCTGTCTTCTTTCAGCCTGGTTTCAACACTGTCTCTCGCGTTGTTAAAAGTGCTGCTTTCTGTTCTCATTCAGCATGTTTTCATAAAGCCAACTCAACAGTACTCTTCATTTACTGTTTTCAGTTTCTGCTGTCAGTGGAACATTTGATTGCAGCTCATCAGTTCTGTGCTAAAGAAAATCATAGAAAATGTGAAATTGACTGTTCAAATCTTTTGTAGGCAAAGATGCACAGGTTCCACCTTGAATGTGAGTGTGTGCTAGATTAGTTGTCCTCCATGCTTGGTAAATACATATCTCTGCATCAGGGACAGTTAGTTAGACGATAAGGGGGATTTGAATATGTAAACTGGGATTGGTGAAATGTGCAGTTTTTTCTTTTTCTATACATTTGAGAAGGAAGCAGTTGACCTAACTCTAGCTTTTGAAAACATAGATGTATATCAGGTAGCTACAGGAGTTGAAGACATGATGGTTTTTCCTTCACAACACCATGACAGCTTAATCACTGCATCCTCTTATCAAAGAATGCTGCAGTGAAACATAATCAACATGGAAACTTTCTCCTTTTGTGGCATTTGAAGTGGAGACAGATGGCACGGAATAGGTTGATTGGCTTTTAGCACATCTTCTGCAAAGCCCCCTCGTCTCTGTTCTCCATACAACGCCGTATGGAAGAAAAGAGGAGCAATCTGAAGAGACACTTTAATGCATGTTCCATCACATCTTCGCCTGTGAGGGATGAGCGGTGGAGACACATGAATAAATAAGGGAGCTGCGTGGCTGGGGTGGGGGGGGGGGGGGGTTTCAACAGCACGGTCTGACTCCAGCTCCATCGTTTGGTCCTAATTTTCCGACCCAAACCCTGAAGGGGCTCTTTGATTTCTGGACAGCGCGTCTGTGTCCGGAAAGGATGTCAGCATGGCTAAGGCGCCTTCCTAGTGTTCTAACGGTGTCTCTTTCATCGCCGCATCACTTTAACATTTCCACGCCATGTTTCCATCAGACGTTTAGCATATCATAGCGGCAAAATACAACATGGTTATTTCCTCTGATGACTTGGCACGGCAGTTTTTCTGAGCACTTTCCGAACCGTTTTTGGGTCAAAGAGGTACTTTCCTTTCCGAGGGTGACTACTTCTTTCCAGAGGGTTAGTCTCAGCACAGCACACATATTTGATAAAACCTAGCACCTTACAAATCTCAGGTGAGGACCGTTTCTACCTGGTAATTATTGCTCTGTTCAGTCCTACTCTTCTTCGCTCACCGTGTCTCACTTTCACCAGTTCAAGATTAGTCAGCGATAAAAAGACATCACACTACAAGAAAAACAAAAATATAGGGAGCTTGTCGACCCTTTAAATGAATGCAGAAAGCATTTCCATTGAAGATCCTAAAATAGTAGCAACACTTAAGCTAACACTTTTTAAGGCAGTATTACGTCTACAATGTTTTTGGAGCCACCTTTAAAAACTGGATTTGCAGCTCAACAATGCACCGAAACAAACACTGTGTGCAACATTTTAGGTAAAACGATGGCAAAACAATTTGTGGTGGCTTCAATTTCAATAAAGTATTTCAACAGTGCTGCAACATTCTACTCAATAACCAAGCGACTGCGTTTCCTGTGGTGAACAGTAAGACAAGGATATTGCTACTCTGATATAAAAGTCTGCTGATTCTCCTGCGTCTCTTCAGTGTTGCACTCTTCAGAACATTCTATAATAAAAAACATTGAGAGGTTGAAACCATAAAACCCTCTCCTTTACCCTGTAGTCAAATCCAAATACAAGAGAGAAACAAACTGCTGCATGTGCCAAACATGTCATCGTAGTAGACAGAAAGAAAACTAACAAATACAAAAATGTAAGTGAAACCACTGCAAGTAGACAAGTTGTTTTTTTTGTTCTTTTTAGAGAGAATCCATAGCCTCGGTGTGCATTTAAATCATTCATTAAGTTCAAACAGAAGTCCTTTCCAATGCACCCTTTGATATGTGGTTGGGTTCATAAGCGCTTCTAACGAAAGTAAGTAAAGAAAGTCATCTGGTTCAGGTAGTTTCTTTTTTGTTGCGGTTGTTTGTCCTTTTCCTCTCTTCAGTGCCCTGTGAAGAGGCGGAGCGAGGAACAAAGGAATGATTTCACTCCAGACACAGCCGAGGATTCCGGCACGACTCACGTCCGTTAGCTTTGACCATTTGTCCCGGGTACATCCCATAAGTTCTGTTAGAGTTTCTCATGATGCAAACTGCGGGTCACACCTGGACCCCTGTGCCGTGGAGGTGCAGCATCTGGGCTCTCATAGTCTGTATGCTGCTCATGATCTTCTTCTGATGGCCCACCAGCGAGATCCCCAAGCTCATCACGTCACTGAAACACAGGAAGGGGCGGGACTAAGATAAGATATACTTTATTGATCCCATATTGGGACATTTCCGTCACAGCTGCACACTGGAAAAAACTGAAACGTGACTTTAGTTAAATGTTCAGGTTAGTTGAAAGCAATAATATGAAGTTGATATTACATTGCTTTCAACTAACCTAAATACATAATAAATGTCATATTTTAGCTTTTTAGAGCATTTAAAAACGAGGCATTGAAAAATATAAACATCTCAAAATAGTAAACAAAACAGAACTAAAAAGGAACATATTTAGAAGTTGACGTGAAAGATAAAAAGCTGAAAACTATCTGTCAAATAAACACCAAATGACAGCTCAACAAAAAGAAGAATATTATTCAGAAAGTGAGAAAACACTTCATTCAATCTAAATGTACAGTGTGAAGAGGAGTCCAGTTATAAGTTATGAGTCCAGTTAACCAAAGTGACGAGTCACATGCTGAGCTTCTTTCACCATGGTCCAATGGTAAAGGGTAACAAAAGGCAGCTAAACATAACGTGTCCATGTCCAGGATGATGGAGCAAACCGTTACAACTCCAGTCTTTTCTTGGAAGTGTGTTTGGAAAGTTTATTTGAACGCCTTGAGCTTTTTACAGGATGTGGAGACGGATGTTGACATCTGATGGTCAGGGAGTCTGAGTCACTGATCCAGGGCCAGCCACAGTCTGGCTGCTGCTCATATTCAGCTGCTCTCAACTACAGTGATACACAGCAGAGAGTTCACACAGGTTCAAGACCCTGGTGATGAGGACTCGCTAATAAGAGTCTTAAAGTTCTTGAGTCCAAACACAACCAATGAGACCTCGTTTATTCTGTTCGATTTTGGATATAAGAGGAGTCTGTTTTTACAGATGGAATGAGTGTAATTCACTGATTTGATCATGACATGGGTAACATGGAGGCAAACAGGAGCAAATCATGAATAGAGGTCTCTTACTAAAATATTGAAAGTATACATTCAGTATATGGATAGTAATCATCAAAGAAGAATAATGGCCTAGTTATCTCTGCAGTTTGGGTAATTGAAGAAACCAGGCCAATTTTTTAAATGTACGGTAATTTACAGAAACCTCATTGGATGATCTGCCAACACTGCCTGAAAACAAAATGCAGCTACTTGGGTTTGCTTATTAGGGTTGGCCAACGGGAAGCGTAGGTAGGTGAGATAAGAGTTGAAATGTGCCTGGTGTTATTGTAATGTTCTCCTCTGAAGTTTAAGCACTGGAGGGCTTCCTGTCTACTCACTCGATTGACATCCTGGCCACAGATTCCAGGGAGCTGTAGCCAGCCGCTGTGAAGTTGTCTCTGTATCGCTCCATCTTGATGGCTTCCAGCCACTCTCCTACAGAGCGGAAAGTGGTGAAGTCTGGTGTGCTCTGATCCAACAGCGGACTAATTGGTCTGCGGGATGAGCAGAAAGATGTTTATTTCTTATGTGAAAAGGAAACGTTCCGCTGAAAACACAATCAGGCAGGAGAAGAGACAAACCAACGACTAAAGGCATCCAGCGGTGTGGCAAATTGCGAGAAGGGGAAAAAGCAGCTGATTGGAGGCTTCAATCAATAACATATTCATAAACAGATGCAGCATTTCAGCTTTCTGCGTCTGAAAAACATGTTCTCAATATCTCTTCAATCTGAATACATTCCTCACATATAGACACACTATAATAAAGTGCTTTTTAACCAGCTGTAACCTCTCCATCTCACCTCAGGGAAGTCTCTTCTGACTGCAAATAGAATTCATCTGACAAACGTCAGAGTGAGGTCTGGAGTTCCCACTGCACTTTAAAGTAGCAGGAACTCATTACCAGGATTGATTTAAAAGCCCTGCGATTGACCATAAAGTCATGGAAGCTGCTTTGGGGTATCGATCCCCCAGGATTTATCTTTCATCTGTGAACTACAGAGGCTAAGTCATCCGCTGGACGCTTTGGATCATCCACTAATGCGCTCAAATAAAAGTTCTTATTGTATGAAGACACATTTTAAAGTGGTTCCTTTGGGGTTTACTCCCTCACCTTGTACATGTTCCCACTGGGGTTTTCAAGGTGTTAGGGTTGCGGATCATCTTATCGAGGATGCTGACTATCTGATCGAATTTTGGACGCTCGGCTCTGTCCTTCTGCCAGCAGTCCAGCATGAGCTGGTGCAGGCCGGGGGGGCAGTCCATCGGCGCTGGGAGGCGGTACCCCTCCTCTATCGCCTTTATGACCTAGAGGATGCAAAACAGAGAGTCGTTAGTATCCTTAATAAATAGCTTTTAATATCACAATACCCCACAGTACACACACAGTGGCAGCTTAGAGAGGAGCTGAGATAATAAAAGGGCATTGTGGACTTAATACTTGGCTGTTGTTTTTGTCCATACGTGTCTGCAGTGCCGTTGGTGAACAGCATTTTATAATAATAAGACATAGCTGATACTGACCAAAACAAAGAATGGGATATTCAGTGTGTGATAAATAAATGAACTTTGTGTTTATCCAGCTCAGGCAAAATAGCAGAGCTTTTGTCATGTACTGATCCAGAGGTTATGCATGTTTGATCAGTCCATGATACCTGGGGCTTTTCTCTCGCTGGGCTCAGTCAGGGAACAACCTCCTGCTCTCAGTGCGTGCTAACTGCTGCAGCCTTGAAACAGCTCCTTATGAGATGGGATCATATTACACCTATCTTTATCAGTCTTTACCGCAAATAAAAGATGTTCTGATAACGCTTAAGGCACGGCAGGACTATTTTGGATGGTTGCACTGTAGTATTTCAGCAGGTTAGATACCCCAGTGCAACGGAAATTCTAATTTGAACGTCGCTCATTGTTTATGCACTGAAACGTTGACTTTAATTACATGTATTATATCTACAGATGTCTTATAACTGAATACGGTTAGTTGCAAGCAATAATATTAAGTTTTAAAAAATTATATTAGGTTCAGTTTTATATTATTTCTACCAACTAACCTAATACAGTTATGTGAAATGTGTTGACATAATACATTTAATTAAAGTCAACGTTTCAGTTTGTTCAGTATGTGTGCAAACAAAAGGCCATATTTATTCAGCTCTGACATGGAACCTTAGAACCTCAAATATATCATGACTCTCCATCAGGCATGCAGTTTGCAGCGATGTCATTAAAAGTCAACAGCGTGAGAACAGGAGCGGGCACTTTGATGTGAGCCCTCGCTCTATTTCCTTTATTGTGTCGGATAAGGAGCTGCGTACGTTTCTGCATTTATTCATCAGCTATTTCTGTCAGGACCGCTCAGAAATGATGAGTCATGGAGGGAAAATATGTCAAAACTGAACTGAAACTGTTGAAAAAATGCAAATAACGTTCTTCCTGCTTCCCCACAGGATGTTTGCTGTCATCTTGACAAAGTGCAAACATTTCTGACATTGATGTCTGTCAAGTAGCACAGCATCAAAACACCACATCTGCCACTATAACGCCCGGACGTCTTGTTTAGCATTTCTCACATCTGATTGTTCCGTTAGCATGCCTCTCTATTTACCTAATATATCATATTCCAGTAACTTGCATAAAGACTCTTATTGCACTATTTCACTTTTTGTATTTACTATTTGCTTGCACTATATTTGTCTGTTTATCTGTGTTTTGTGTTGCACTGTTGGAGAAGCCTGTGACCTAAGATTTCCATTGGCATAACTACACTGTAGCTATGTTCGTATGACTAAATAAAGAACCTTGAACCTTGAACCTTGAGTGTTGGAGAATCCTGGTGATGTTCAGACCTGATGCTGAACTTCACCTTATAGGAATCTGAAGCCCTGGAATAACTAGCCATCTACCATCACAATGTGTGAAGAGTCTGACAATAGGACAGCGTTAAGGGTCTGACACAGTTGGACTCGCTCTGTGGGAGTTTCCATGAACACCATGAGACTGTGGCTGAGTCAATCATTACAGCAATGTGTGACTTTTGTAGAGAGTAGAGTGGGACTTGAATGTTTTCTGTGTGAGAAAGAACACTCTGGGCGATGTCAGGAGTTGATGGTAAAACACCTTAAAGATTCTGATTAAATAACAACACCTAGAACACTGAAAAGACTGAAACGTTGAATTTAATTACGTGCATTAGTCAATGTTTCAGTTTGTTCAGTGAACGTAGTCATCTCTAAATGCTACCAGTTCTAGCACACTGAGTTTTACAACCTCAGCAGAAGTTGTAGAAACCATTTGCAATGTGTTGTGCAAAACAAGACAGATACAAACTATGTCCTGCTCCTGGGGCTTTATGAGTTTCATTGAAGCGTGTCAAAACAATTCTAGATGAGATAACTAAAGAAGTACTCTATCATTTGTAATAACACTTCATAAAGATCGTTTTTTATAAAAAAAAAGAGTAGGGACCAAACCAGAAGCTGAGATATACTGACATTTACACACAAAACATTTGTCCGGCTCTAAAATCACTGGACCCTTCATTTCCCATAATGCAACTCATTACATACTTTCATGAGACTGGTTGATATCTTTTGAACACAGTTTGTAATGCAGGATTTCCGTTATAGAAATGTGGTCTCAATGAAAAAGCTCAGATAACCTTGATGACATCACTATGACATCATCATCCGTTTTTTCTCAGGCAAATCAATCCAAGACATTTTGAAACGTTTTCCACAGGTTGACCCTGAAGGGGAAACTAACCTTGATGTGTAGAATTGTGAAAGAAAGAAAGAGCAACTTTAAAAATATATATTTTGTTTAAATTCTGGATTTTAGAAACAAAGCCATCAGTGCAATGAACACTGGGAAAAATGCATGAGCTGCTGCTGCTGTAATTGGTTCAACATTGCTACTCACTCTGGTTCACATTTCCATAAGTAATTATAAACTTTTAAAGTCATTAGGGTCAAAAGCTTTCTGCATGACAAGTGTTTTCCATTCCTGTAATTTATAATAATACCAAAATCAAATCCATGTTCGCCGGACTTCATATTTATGCGTGTCCCATTTCAGGACTGTTTCTCCTTCAAATGGATTCAAGCTGCATGAATAAAACGAGACTTCCTGAACTAATTAAGCCCAAGGTTAGTGCCTCGAAACGGTTCTCTGGAGGGAGCTGCACGAAATCCTCAAAGAAGAACCACAAACTGGGATCTTTGTCTGGGATGTTCTACGTTTAAGTGGGATGACTTCATTAGAGATAATTAGGGATGGATCTGGGGAATAACCCTCTTTCAGATGAATGTTAGTGAAATATTCTTCTCCCAGATATGAGAAACGCTTCATATCCAGTGTGCTAATCGTCTTTTATAATAGCTCGTGTCAGCAATCCATGATCTAAGATTAAGAAACTCAAGAAAGGAAATATAAGAAAATAATATAAATGCCCAATTGCAATATTTAAAAATGATTCTCTTTTATAATTTTCCCTGCAGGTAACCTCAACTTGATGTGTAAACCACCAAGCTCGACAGACTCTTACACATAGTTTCAGTAACTTAAAGACTTTTTGTGATGTAATGTTGACTTTAATTAAATGTATTATGTCAACAGATTTCACATAACAGTATTATGTTTGTGGAAAAAAATAATATTAATAAAAAAATATATATATTATATGATATCATATTGATTCAACTAACCTAATGCATTTATGTGAAACTTGTTGACATAATACATTTAGTTAAAGTCACCGGTTAAGTTTTTCCAGGTTTGTTTCGTAGCTTACATCTTGATTGGACATGTCCCAGTAGGGCCGCTCCCCATAGGACATGGCCTCCCACATGACGATGCCGTAGCTCCATGCGTCGCTGGCCGAGGTGAATTTACGATACTGGATGGCTTCCGGCGCCGTCCACCTGACGGGGATTTTGCCACCCTGTTCAGTAAAACGCAGGTCAGTGGCTGGAGTAAACATCACATTCATTATATCCTGCATCTTCCCCTAAAATATCAATTAGAGAGAATTCAGAGTTACACAGGGTCAGAGCACAAAACAACAACTCCTCCACAATCTTATACAAAATATACTGCATTCTAATAATGTCATGAGTTAATCACTGCCTTAAGCAATTACAGATGGATCAAAAACAAGATACCATTTATTTAATATTAGTTATTATTATTAGACATTATTACGTTTTTAACAGCTTGTACACATGATTTTTGAGAGATGGAATGTAAGAAACTCATAACCAATACTTAGTTTTTTACATGTACTGTATCTTCAAGTACATTACAATGTTAACCTGATACAATATATTGTCAACATTATATTTGAGTGTAAAAAAGAAAAAAAGCTAATTCTCAAATGTGAAAATTCTGGACATGCACATTATTATTTAGTAAAGGAAAATAGTTGGTAAATAATTTTCTGACAATACATTAATAAGTTAACTGGGTTTTTTATCATTAAATAAAATACGATTTCTCTCATTTTTCCTGATTCTTTCTGTCTTCCCTGTTATTTCTTACAAAACATTTTGAATCGTCTTGCGTGTTACTCAATTGGATGCTCTATGACCCACATAATGCTTTATAAAAAACTGAGTGTGCTGAACACATGAACAGCTAGCAAACAGATTTCCAATCCCAGAGTTTGTTCTTCATCTATAAAGCATTAGTAAATCATTATGAAATCCTAAATAAGGCAACAGTAACACGGTTTGGACGGTTTTGAAGGGCAAATTGTGAGAAAGTTGTACGGAAACATCTTTCTGCATATTAAGTCTGCTTGGGCGTGCAGCGGATCTTCTGCTCTAGACTTGATTCGAGGATTCAGGCGAGGGTAGACAGACTGTAATGGACTCACAGTTGTTGTGTAGACAGCCTCGGGATCGTCGTCTATCACCCTTGACAGGCCGAAGTCGGAAACTTTACATACGAGATTGCTGTTGACAAGGATATTTCGAGCGGCCAGGTCTCGATGGATGTATCCCATATCGGAGAGATATCTCATTCCTGCCGCAATGCCCCGCAGCATGCCCACCAGCTGGATGACTGTGAACTGACCATCGTGTTTCTGAAAGAGAAACAGAGCAGGTCAGCCGTCTTCTCTGTCCAGGAGGGAGATGTAGGTCGCAGCTCTGCAGCACAAGATGTATGATATGTATATATCCAACTGCAGACTGCTGGAACACTCTCGAGCAAACACAAGAAAAAGTTAGGAAGATGCTGCTCTGAGCCTCCTGAAGGTGACTCACCCTGAGGAAACCATCTAATGAGCCGTTCTCCATGTACTCGATGACAATCATCACCGGTTTTCCTGGAGAACAAAAAGATGGATGACAGAGAAGATGATTCGTTAATATCTGATTTTATTTACTTGTAAGATGCATCATAATAAACAACCGTGCCCAAATTGCTTCCAAGTTATTTTTAGCTGTGTACTTCATTGGCTTTTAATTAAAAGTTACCATCTGCTCCTTTTATTACAATGTCTAAATGAGAAAATGTTAAACAAGGTTTGTAGATAATGTAATCAGATATAATGTCACTCTAACTACGGCACTTTCACCTCCCAAGGCTAAATATACTGAAACTGATCCTACTGGATTCTTAAACTCCTCTTGACTGAAACATTAGGTCCAGGTATATTTCAGGAGTGTTTACCTCTTGTCACGACTCCCTCCAGATGAACCACATTGGGGTGGTCGAACTGTCCCATAATGCTGGCCTCGCACAGGAAGTCCCGCCTCTGCTTCTCTGTGTAGCCTACTTTTAACGTCTTGATGGCGGCAGACACGTCCCGCTTTCCAGGAAGCTTGAGCCGGCCGCTGCACACCTCCCCAAACTCTCCTGAGCGGGAGCAAAACGTTTATCAATAAGATTGGGGGGGTAAAGAAAAATGAAGCACTTCTCAATGACAAATGTATTAGAGTACTTTGAGACAAAGCAGCTGAGCAGTAGTGATACAAATTGTGTGAGAAATGTTTGAAGGATGTGGCATTTTAGTCCACTTAATTAAAAAGCCTCTTTCCTGCGGAGACCGTTGTAACGTTGCATCATATCATATTTATGTAGCGATCCAGACGGCACATAGTCATAAACGGTTAACATTAACTTTGACATTCAAAGGTAGTTCTCTAAATAATCCAATAAAATAAAAAGATCTGTTCTACCATATATATAGACATCCATGTCATGAGACTTAAATGAAGTTTATTCTAAAGATATTTGCAGATACTCAAACAACAATAATGACATTAAAGTAGAATGTCTGTCTCAGATGGTGTCTTACTCAACCCAGCCCTATAGTCAAACGTGCTGGAGATGATACTGTCATTGGCCACCTCTGATAAAGTAGCCCCCGCCCCCCACCAGACCATCCCACATTAATTGTATGAACCTTTCCCAATCTTTGCAATCGCGCTATCAATATACAATGCATTACGCTGTGTCAAGGTGTAAATATGTGGCTTTCAGTGTGATGTATGAGCGCACAGAGTGACTAAACACCAAGAGCTGAATGAACACAGGAGGGGTGGGGCTCACCTGCTCCGATAACCCGCTCGATTTTAATGCAGGAGGCGTCCAGCTCCTTGGCAAATTGATGGACAGCCCTGTTGGGGTCCTCGTAGGTTTCAGGGTCAATGTAGGTTTTGGTGCCTGGAAATTTAACTGTAGAAAGGTAAGAGGATTACTGTTATGATTAAATATGCCGCATGCACCGGCGGGCACTTGGCAGGCAAACGGTTACAAAGAGCAGCGATTCAGAAGGAATTGCTGAGCAGTCGGCGGCCGGTCAAAAGGCTTTTCTCTGGGGAGAATCCTTCACAAAGCAAAGTTTGAGTAACCCGTGCTCGGTGATTTTATGAGGCTGTTGGTTACCTCTCACCTCCTGTAGCTCACACTACCTCACGGAATCATTTCTCACCACTTTATCCACTTTCATGCTTGGTGGTTTACACATTATATCATTATTGTCATCATTATTATTAAAATTCTAACAGCAAAAACAAATAGACATTTTTATATGGAATAAAATACATATTTCATTTTAAAACCAGCCTTAAATACCTGACTTGAAAACTTTTTCTCTCTTTCAATTCATACTAATTTATTTTTTGAATTTATATCTTAATTAGGAAATAAAGGAAAATATATTTCTGTGATACATGTTAAAAAAGGAATTCAGACACTCCTAGGAGTTTTCCAAACATAGGTTAGGAATTACAATTTTCAAAACCAAATAAACCTTGATGAAATGCCATATAACTATAAAGATACAGGAACAAACAACACTGCTACAATAATCTGGAGGGATTATGATATGAGAAGAGGGCATGAATATCCATAACATGAGAGTAGAAGCAGTTGGCAAAAAATAAAGAAAAACAAAAAGGTTAAAGTGAGGCCAGCGATGGGTAGGGGGTTTACATTCTGCACAAATTAACAACAAATTACACTATAATGCACTACTAAGTGAAAACACCACTCATGGGGGCGATTATATTGTGCAATTTAAATTCCACTGATAACAATGTAACCTGTCAGCTTTAATATTTAATGAGCTACTACAGCAAAAATGCAGCGGACACACGCTGGACCATCACAACACAATAGAAGCTCATAAGAGACACTTATTCTCTGTATGGAGGGCAGCGTAAATACAACAAATGCATTGTGCTCCAGAGAGGGGACGCCGGCAGCAGAGATTTCCCTCCACTTGCTCCCATAATTGCGTCGTCCATCCGATATGTCAGTAGATCTGATAGGAAATATCTTATCACAAATTCCTCGCTGCTACATGGCAGACAAATTGGGTCTACATGTTGAATTTGCGTTATCTAGCTTGTGTCGCCGTGGCAGCCTCTCGTCATCTGATACCGCACGGCGGATGCTTCACTGAGCCGACAGCAGCCTTGTTTTTATTTCCTTCAGCAGGTGGACTGAGAGCTGCTGAGGTGCGTCTGTCACACACTTAGCCCGACACTCTGTGGCACCCCTGACCCTTTGTTTCCAAATCAGCAGTTTGCCTACAGCGAAGATCATTACGGCGGCTCTCGGGGAGGCTGTCTGCAGCTGGATCTCCAGGGGCTTCATTAGGGGGGGTGTTTCAGAAGGCCTACGAGCAGCCTCTTGGACAGAGCACAGTCACACACCTGAAACTCTTTCGCTCACTAAACCATCAGTGGGATGCTTTCTCACTTTTCTTTTAGGAACGCTTCTTCCTCACGGGTTAACCTGTACTCGCTCTAACAGCTGTCACATTCATGCGTTTGTAGTTTCCTAACTTCTTCACCTGCACAGACCGAGTGCAGCCAATCAGCAGCAGATGTGGGCATCATTGTTCTCAGTAATGACCCAAAGCAGATGAACTGGGACCAAACACCCAGGCCTGCACTGAAAGGACTGAATGTTTCAGTTTTTCATCCATGTAACGAGATTATTTTCTTTATGGTTTATATGTATTCTTCTCTATTTTAAATACATTTATTTTTTAATGCAGTAGGTGGACTCCTGAGTTGTTGTAAAGGACTTCATTTGTAAAGTAACCCTCCCTACCCACTCTGTTCAGTATACAGTGATGGAAGTAATAATGATGTGTATGTGTGTGTATGGCATGATGACTGCAGGTACTCACACTGGAAGTAGAGCTCCTCGTCTCCCTCCTGATCAGCTTTGCTGTACCCGCAGTGCCTGCACGGGGGGGGAGGGGAAGAGAGTGGCGGAATCAACTGATTGTGCGGAGGAAATAAATGCCCTAAATTACAAGAATTTTAATGCGGCAGCTAATGCTGTGCATGACACATCTCCTGAGAGGGAAGGAGCTGCTGGAGCCGTGAACTCCACAGCTTCCAGCCTGGGAGCGTGGCTGGAGTATCTAATCATGTTACATATCAAATAAAACATGTACTGTAAAGGACTGTTCAACAAGTCTTGTAATATTAATTTATATCGTGTTGAAGGTTCCTTCAAGTAGCTGGACAAAGATGCTCTTTGAGCACAACAGAAAAGAGGATGACGTGCGAAGATGAAATAAGCCACGAGTGATGGACATGCACTGAGTGTGGATGAAGTGACACGTGTGTGCAGAGACCATTCATACTGCCGACTAGAACTGAGAACACTGCCACTATATCCAGAGATATGTAGGACTAATAACACATGTCTCAAAGATAAGCACATTTGGAGTCATCCATGTTCCCAAAATAAAATATGCTATTTATTTATCCTATTCATAAACAATGTTGGGGGGCAGCTAACATAACATCTTATGGAAAAGATCAGATCAGCTTCCAAGGTGCATCCAAGCACAGCATTCTAAAACAGAAAAACAAAACCGGACCCTACAAAGTCATGGATTAATGGTCAAAATAATAAATAAGAGATATTTGAACTAATAAAACATGTTCATAGATTGTGCTTCTTGTATGGTTTATTTTGTCTCATAGATAAGCAAATTGGGAGACATTGATGTTCTCAAAATAAAATCCAATTAATTGATCATGTTCATAAACATGCAGTGGCTCAGTCAGTAGGGGCTTGGACTGTGAGCCGTTGGGTCGCCGGTTCAAGTCCCGACCAGACCTAAATATGGAGTGTGGACTGCTACTTGGAGAGGTCCCAGTTCACCTCCTGCCCTGCCGTGGTGCCCTTGAGCAAGGACACCCCCATTCCCCCCCACTCCCATTGTTCCCCGGGCGCTGGACAATAGCTGCCCACTGCTCCTGGTACTAGGACGGGTTAAAAGCAGTGTGTGCTGTGTGCTCTGCATGTGAGACCATTAAAGAGGGTTTCATCCCTCCCAATTCTATTCTATTCTATTCTATGTTGGGGGGCACTTTACATGAACAACAAACAAGCACAACATTCCATACCTGAAAAATGAAACACCCCTTTAAAAGTCATGGTTTACTGGTAAACATTACAAATAAATGATGGGCTCTGGGCTTTGCATGGTGTGCTGAGCCATTTCAGTTTGTCAAATAAAAATGTTTCCAGAGAAGTCTGATTCTCATGAACCCACCATTTAACGCTCTGATGAAATGCCATTCATGCAGATGAAAACACAGAAGAGAGGTAAAGATGATAATGACAATGGGCTGGCTGCTTTGTGCCATACTTCATCCTGCCCTGTGGATCTCACACACTCAGACACAGGAATGCAGAGCTCTCACTCTCTCGCACTTGTCTCATAATGGCTCTGTAGAAAATAGCTTCAGATTTGTGTTGGGGGCTCGGGAAAAAAAAGCATCACAACCCATTAGCACAGCATGCCACGAGATGATGGGTGCACGTGTGTGTGCGTGTGACGACTCCACAGTGTGGAGGCCCGTGAGTGACAGAAAGGCTAATTGACAAGCGCAGACTCACAGGAGCGGAGAGTCAATGGGGCCCGCGAGAGCGTACCTTCTCCCGATGATGAAGCCGAACACCATGAACACAAGGATGATGGTCCCCGCCACGGCCACCACCGCGATGATGATAACGGGGTTCTGCTCGCTGGAGACGATCGTGGCTGATGAGACCAACACACACGTAAACACACACGGACACACATGCAGAGAGACAGCAATGCTCAGTGTTTAAGCAGCACAACAAAGAACACACTCTGCAGGTCACACACTGAAAACTGAAATGTTTACTTTAATTAAATGTGTTATCTCAACAGATTTCATGTAATTGTTTTAGGTAAGTTGAAATCAATAATATTAAGTTGAACCTAATATGTTTTGATTTAAACTTAGTATTATTGCTTTCAACTAACCCAATAGTATGTAGTGTGTATAGATACAATGTCTAAATACAGGAAGGTAAACAACTTAGATAAAAATAGGGAACCTTTAACATTTTGATATAAAGCTTTATTGCTACTCTGTGCCATATTACATTCAACTTTTTCTGCTGCTATTTATTGTTACTTAACACTGACGGATACAAACAGGATATATCGGTGAGCTGAAGTCGGCCGATATATCAGCATATCTGATTTCAAGGTTTCATTTTCCCGGTGCAATCTGCAGGACATAATTGAGCCCAATGAGATGCGAGGAGATTGATAACCCCCCCCGTCCTCGTCTTTCCTCTGAGAGAGTGGAGGAGGGACGCTTCTATTTTAGAGCCGTCCTTATACACACTGCTCTACTGTTTCAGAAAGTGGGCTTAATAGTCCCAGATGGCGACGGCAATGCCCTTCATCTCAAACAAAGACACATTCAGGTTGGATTGTTTCCCGCTCGGAGCCCCCACAGCGCGCACACGCTTTGTGTTGACAAACTGTCGATTGCGCCGAAGAATGGATTGCCGTAGCATCATATAAAGTCAACGCCAGTGGTGTATTAGAGGAAAAAGTCATGCATTTTAAATCAAGTGGATCTGCGATGTATAAATTCTTGGAAGGGGAATGATTATTTTGTGGCCTCTCTGAGGGGGAGGGGGGCTTTAGTATGTCCCGACAGTAGGTCAGGTCAAGCTTCAATATGTCACTGTATGTTGTTTGTGGGAGGAATTAGAGCAATTCACATTTCAATTAATATTACACATTTTCAGGTTTCCCTTTTGAAGTGGATGACAGAGCGGGTCAAGGACATTGTGAGTGAACATTAAAGTTATAACCTTGTTGCAGGACACACTCTGTATGTGGTATGAGTAATTAATATGTCCTTTAATGCAGACATGTTGGGGTCTTTGGGTGGGCATGTTGGGGTTTGGAAAAAAAAGAGGAAATATGGGGGGTTTTAAGTACTAGCGGATGGCTAAACACAATGTTAAAAACTGAAGCGTTGACTTTAATTAAATGTATTAAGTTTAAATAACTTTATTTTAGAGGTCAACGTTTCAATTTTTTTTCAGTGCATCCTGACAGTAAGGCTGACATAAATGTTCTTATCTCGCTCTGGGAAAACAAAGATAATACAATCTGAATATTCCTTTAATGTAGCACATTTAACGTAGCATTGAGAGGAAAGTGCTCCATTTTCTAAGTTGGATCTACATAGTTTTCGCTCTGTTAAGTACTGAGGTGCAAACAATTAGCGTTACATAACTTGCACATAATAAACAAAATAGTACCTCGCTGTGTTTAGAATGCATGGAGAAGTTACAATTATCCAAAAAATGCCATGTTATAACAACATTAGTTTCTTCTTTAAAGAAATAAGATAAGATTTATAAGAGGTGTTTTTGCTTGATTTTTGGATGTCTTTGGGAAAACTCTGTAACACAACCTCTTGTGATTGTTAACAATATATCTTATAATGCTAACACACACAGCTCACAGCCGCACCTTTAACCTAAGTTTACACAAACACACACTGCGCCTCTCAGGGCAGAGCTAATGTAACTTATTAGATTGAAATGAGTTTATCCTCATGATACTGCGGCTTGTCCTTGTGCTTAGTTATTTCTCCCATGACGTGTTGTCAGCATAAAGTCAAAGCAATTTGTGTTTGCTTAGCTTAAACGCAAATCATTTCCCTGGGTTATTACTACAGTAGCTGGAAACATTAACAGGTTGTGCATATATTTGAAGTTAAAAGCCTTTGCTGTGATATAATGTGCTGATATACTGCTGCCGCCAAACTGTCCTTGTGTTAGATGCTTGGCATTGGTGCATTTGCAGACATACTAATGTTCTCTGTGGGCTTTTAACTCAAAACATCAGACAGGTGCAAACTGCAGGAAAAGTGGGAATGAACACTGAAACTGTATCCAATGAAAAGCAGCAAAGACCGAAGGTACGATATACAATGTGTCACTTAATGCCAAACTAAGATACATCTTCCTACACTGAAAAAACTGAAACGTTGACTTTAATTAAAAGTATTATGTCAACCATTTTTACATATCTCGATTAGGTTAGTTGAAAGCTGTAATATTGAGTTGAACCTAACGTTTTTTATTTAAATCAAACGTTTATTACATGAGTAACGCAGCAGTATTAGGGTTGTGTGTAGTTGCATTGGAGGGCTGTTCATACTTGTGGTTTCTTCTTTGGTGGTGATCTCCAGGCGGGGGCCGAAGGTGCCGTAGCCCGCCTCGGTGAATGCCCGGATCTGGAACACGTAGGAGGTGCTGGGCTTAAGGTTGTTCACTGTGGCCGACGTGGACTTGGACCTGACTGTGGAGTACACCCTGTCCTTCTGATCCTGAACAAGGAGAACATCGTGTTTTATTGAAACATTTATCTCTTAACATTTGGGCGAAGAGAGACAACATCCAACAGCTGCTTGATGGTTTGGTTAGTAAAAGGAATAAATATGATTTAACAATGTGTATTTCAAATAGACACACAGTGTTGCACTTTAGTAAAAATATCACATTTAGTAGTCATTTTAATATCAAGTTTAATAAGTATAGAGTATAAGTTGTATAAGAACTTTAGATATTTGTAGCTGCAGATAGAATTTTAAACAGTCACTAGAGACATTAGAAACCTTTATTTAAGGTTTTCCCTGTTTTTATGATTATCGTATATCTCTATAGTCTCCCTGTTTTGCTGTTGCTCTCATACATTCATCCATGTTTACCTGTATCTTTATATCATAATAATGTATATTTCCACAGCACTAATTCCATCAGTACAAACATGTCAAACTCACCACTGCCCTATTCGAGAATTTAAAGAATTAAAGAACATCTTAACACTTCATATCAACCTCCAGGGCTGAGGAGTGATGCATATTAGGAAGTGTCCAAAAACGTTTTTGGTCCAAAAACCTTTTTTTACGAATTCAAGACAACTTACTGCTGCTGTATTTTTTATAGCTCACCCGTTATAGTTATATTAAAGGCATAAAGTGGTGCATTTTTAGGGGTGTGGCCTCTTTTAGTAGCATGAGGATGCTAATGTTGCTGCTAGCTATTTGCTGTTGCTCCATCTGGGCCGCGCTCAACTCCATCCACAACGGCTAATTTTGGATTAGTTTGGAGTTGAAACAGGCGAAGGCAACCTGAGGATGATTTCACAGAGACCACCTCTCTATTTCATACAGTCTATGATCCAAACTGAGATTATTATCCTACAGTTTGACAGCTCGCCACATATAAAAAACTCTTCTTCATCAGGGAGTGTATTTGGATGCACAGGCAGCACGTAATGTTTGCTGTTGATCTGTAAATGGTTTGTTCGGAAAGCTCAAATGGAATGTCAGGGTCTGTTAGGGCTGTAGTTGTTGTTTCCAATGTTCCACTTTTACAGCTAGGCAGACCACAGGCACCGTACGTGATGCAGCAGACTGATCGTCAGAGTGAGCCACAGAACAGCTACCCTGCCTTTTATTTGCCCCGTTAAACCTCGCTGTAAAAGGCTGATGTGTTCAGACTTGAAACACAGGGATGCAGCGCTATGATCTATGTGGAAGGAGATAACAGATGACTTATTCTGCCAGTATGTGTTCTAACATGTGCACGGGGCGGCTGGGAAAGACTACAGCCTGATTAAAATCTTATGAGCATCTCATTCATTATTGCAATTATGAGACAAAGAAGGTACGGTACTTGCAGAATCTTGTGAATTCCACTCAAAGCAGCATGCAGATAGAATATGAAATGAAGAGTCTGCAAAAGTGAATGTGAAGGGAAGGAATGGAGGGGAGAGCGTTTCAGGAAGAGACGAAGACACACATGAACTGTTCAAATCACCTTCTCGTAGTATTTGATTTCGTACTCTGTGATGACCCCGTTGGGCTGCTGGGGCTCCTGCCAGGACAGCTGGATGCTGCGCTGCTGCACCTTCTCCTTGATGACCTCGCTGACCTGGGACGGAGCTGTGGAGACCAGAAAATGTCGGTAAGGGGGGGTCTCTCTGAACACACATGCATAAACATGCATAAAGCAAACCACAAATCATCCAACAACTCCTCCACCGACTCTCTGCGGCCCTGCCAGCTCACTCACACACTGACAAAACTGAAACATTTAATTAAATGTTATAGTTCAACAGATTTGACATAACTGTATTATTGAGTTTTAATCAATACTATTAAGTTTATGTTTAAACGTAATATTATTACTTTCAACTAATACATTTATGTGAAATCTGATGACCTCATATACTCAATGTTTCAGTTTTGTCATTGTGTTCACGGAGACGCTTCCAAATGTTTACACCTCATGATCAACATGTTAAGCAGAAGATAGCATGCCATGTACCTGTAACCTCCCGACATCAGTTTTATGCACACCACTTATCTCCGGCTCTTTGCATGACTCATTCTAAGAGTCTGGCTGCCTGGATTAACTGCTGCCACATTTAGATTTGATAAACAGTCCACAAACAATCCTCTATTTTTTTGTTGTCAAAGCCTAAAGGTGAATGCTGGTGACAGCCCTGTGGGCGGAGCTTCAGCCTTCAGTGTCGAGCATGGAGCTCTGTCATTAAAACAGTAATGATGCTGCAGAACCTTTTCAGTGCTCCAGAGAGTACTTGAAATAAGTCATTTTTTATTAAAAACAGGATCAAATATTCCTTTAAAGCTGGCATCTTTCTGTGACTGGAATAGGAGCCCTGCAGCTGGATCCTGTGCTGCTGTACCTCTTCCATTACCTCCAACATCTTGATTGTAATCACTTTCATTTTTGCAGCACTTTACTTAAAGACCAGAGTGAGAAAAATAGAGGGAAAGCTTTTTGGGTTTCTAAACCTCCCCCCGAGGTGATGGTGCTATAAAAAAAAAATGTGTATCTGCACTCTAAAACAGCCCAAAACCCTG